TGTGAATGACTTAGCTCTTCTCAGCAATACAACAATCCGAGACAGCTCTGAAGGATGTAAGATGAGGAACGCTATGCAGACTGAAGCATACTTTTTTTTTTAAACTTTATTTTTCTTGAGTTTTTTTTGTTTATGTTTTCTTTTACAACATGACTATTAGGAATATGTTTTGCATGACTACACATGTATAATCTATACTCTTAATGAGTGGGGGTGTGGAGGGAGGAAGGGAGAGAATTTAGAACTCAAAGTTTTAAAAATAAAGTTAAAAACTGTTTTTACATGTAACTGGAGAAAAATAAAATACTACATGAGAAAAAAGAAAAGCATCCCAGACCTTCCCCCCAGAAGCATCACAGAGCCCAGCCCTAACAAAGTCTGAAGTCAGGAAGTAGGCTGAAAGAGCGAGCAAATAAGAAAAGAATGCCACCATTAAAAAGCTATGATGGTGGCAGGAAAACTCAGGACACCAACACAGAAGAGAATGGCTCCAAAACATCTACAAGCATTGCCTCAGAAAAAACATATCTGGGTCACAAATTCAATTAAAATTAAACTCCTTTCCTAGGTGAAGCAAGGGTTATTTCATTTTTTAAGTTTAAAGATGTTTTTAATAAATGGAATGAGAGTTCTTGAGGATAAAACTGGAAAAGCAATGAGAGCTATGGAAGAAAAAAATGGAAAGGGAATTAACTAACAGCTTGACATAAAAGCTTGCCCAAGCAACACACCTCCTGAAAAATCTGAATAGACTAAACAGATGCCAAGGATATCATAAGGCAAAAAGAAATATTAAAACAATGCCACAGAAAAATAGAAAAAAATATTAGGTATCTCATAGCAAAAGCAACTCACCTGGAAAACTGATCAAGGAGAAAAAATTTAATAATCATTAGACTATTGAAACAAGAGTCTAAAAAGAGCCTAGACATCAATTTTCAAGAACTCTTAAAAGAAAACTGACAAATCTCTTAGAACCAGGGGGCAAAATGGAAAATGAGAGAATACACCAATCACCTCCTGAAAGAAACCTCAAAATGAAAATTTCCAGGAATATTATTGCCAAACTCCAGAGCTTCCAGGTCACACAAAAAATACCGCAACCAGCCAAAAAGAATTCAAACAGTAAGGAACCATAGTCAAAATCACATGCAATTTAGTAGCCACCACTACAAAGGAGCAAAAAACTTGGAATACTGCATTCCAGAAGGCAAGAATATAGACTTACAACCAATAACTTGACCAATAAAACTGAGGGTAATGCTATAGGGAGAAAAAAGGATCGTAATTAAATAAAGGACTTCCAAACATTGCTGTATAGAAACTCTGAAGTAGGAACATAGGAGTAAAGTGAAACATAAAAAAGTAAAACATGAATGAACAATGTTAAGGAACTAAACAAGGGTAAGCTGCTTACATTCAAATATGGGGAGATGAAACACATGTCCCGTCTGATCCCTATCATCAGGGTTCATAAAGATAGTCCAATGAGATAAGGCCTGGGAGTGGTTCTGTCTTGATGATCTGAAGAAAAGAATGGAAAGAGAGGGGAAGAGGAATGTATTGGGGAGAAGGGTGGAGAGAAAGGAAGCTTAGGGAAAATTATCTCACATAATCAAAGTGCACCAGTAGATAGCTATACAAATAAGGAGGAGGTGCAGCTGAGACTAGAACCTCATCTCATCTGAACTAGTCAAAAGAAGGAAGAAAATATGCACACACACACACCGAGTTCAGAATCACATTTCACTCAACAGTGAAATAGGAGGGAAAGAGGAGAAGTGAGAGGGTATTCATTTAGCCATAAACAAAACAAATTCTAGGGCTGTACAAAAGTATTTATAGCTCTTTTTTTAAGTGGCAAAGAATGGGAATCTGAGGGGGTACCCATAAATTGGGGAATGAATAAACAAGTTAGTTATATAAATATGAAGGTATACTATTATGCTGGACCTTTATCAGTGTAACAGCCAACTAGGATTCCAGAGGACTCATGCTGAAACATGTTGCCCATTGGGGGTGGAGCCAAGATGGCGGCGCGAAAGCAGTGACCTGCTTGAGCTCTCCCCCCAAATCCCTCCAAATACCTGTAAAAAATGGCTCTAAACAAATTCTAAAGCAGCAGAACCCACAAAAAGACAGAGTGAAACAAATTTCCAGCCCAAGACAACCTGGACGGTTGATCAGAAAAGTATATCCTGCCAGGCTGGGAGACAAATGCAGTTCAGCATGGGTGTGCAGGCAAAACAGGCCTCAGCAAAGCTGGAGCAGGCCTCAGAGTACTAAATCACAGGCACTCATGGCGGTTTCCAGACTTCTCAAGCCACAAATGCAAAAGACAACCGAGAAGATCAGTAGGAAAAGTCTGTGACCTTGGTGAGAGAGAAGCTCAGTCCCAGATCCAGTCCCAGCACAGCCCTGGGGCAGCGGCTGCTTCTGGAACTTCCGGCCCACAGACTGAGGGGAAATCGAGTGACTGATCAGAGGGATTACAGGGATCTCTTTGCTGGAGCTGAGGCAGGTTTCTCTTGCTTTGCCTGTGCTTGGATCTGGGTCACAGTTCGGGGTGGGGGTCCTGGGGCGAAGGGGAGTACTAGCATGATGGAGCTTGTAGTGGCAGTAAAGAGACAATCCTCCTCACAGTTCCAAGGCAGAAAAGAGTGCTTGTGGTCACTCACAGACCAGAGCACAGGCCAGGAAAGGAGTAAATACCTCGCCCTTGATCATACCACCTTGGAAGAACTGAAAATTTACAGGTCCCTAGAAGTATCTCTGAAAACAGCTGCACAAAACTCCCGAAGCTTGGGACAGTACATTCTCTACACTGGAAGCAGACCCCTACCTTAACAAAAAGTTTATAACTCAAGTAATTGGCTGAGATCATGAGCAAACTGCGCAAAAAAAGTCAGACCATAGAATCTTTCTTTGGTGACAAAGAATATCAAAACACACAACCAGAAGAAGACAACAAAGTCAAAGCTCCTACATCCAAAGCCTCCAAAAAAAATATGAATTGGTCCCAGCTCACAGAAGAGCTCAAAAAGGATTCTGAGAAGCAAGTAAGAGTAGAGGAAAAACTGGGAAGAGAAATGAGAGTGATGCAAGAAAATCACGAAAAATAAGTCAACAGCTTGCTAAAGGAGACCCAAAAAAATACTGAAGAAAATAACACCTTAAAAAATAGCCTAACCCAAATGGCAAAAGAGGCCCAAAAAGCCAATGAGGAGAAGAATGCGTCAAAAAGCAGAATTGGTCAGATGGAAAAGGAAAATCCAAAAGTTCACTGAAGAAAATACTTCCTTAAAAATTAGAATGGAACAAATGGAAGCTAGTGACTTTATGAGAAATCAAGACATTGTAAAACAAAACCAAAAGAAACATGTTGCCCATCTCCTGACCGAGAAGTGAAGGGTTCAGAATAAAAGGTATGTTTTCAAATACGGCCAATGAAAAATTTTGTTCTGTCTGACTGTACATGTTTGTAACAAGGCTTTTTTTTCCCATTTGGGGGTGAGAAAGCAGGAAGCAGGAGGGAAAGAAGGCTCATCTTTGTTTGAAAATAAAATAAAATTTAATTTTAAAAAAATCATCCAAATAGATACTCCATGACATAAAAGGTCACATTATTTCTAAAAAATCAAAAGAAAATGTATGGGAGTACGTTTACAACTATAACTTGGGGAAGAATTCTTAACCAAAGGTTGGAGAGCTCAAAATATGAAACAGATAATTTCAATCATGTGAAACTGAAAAGCTTTCATGTTAAAAAAAAAATGAAGCTAAGAAAAAATGGAAACTGACATTTAGGAAATAACTGTTATCAGATATCTTTGATAAGGACCTTCAATACAAGATATATAAGGACTTTTTCGTCTCATAAAAAACCTCTCTCTAAAACCAAAAGCAAACATCATACGCAATATTCGCTAGAACATTTTCCAACAAATATGGGAGTAAAGCAAGTGTGCCCATTCTTCTTCTTCTGATCTGAAATATTTTCAGAAATGCTGGCAACAGCAATAACACAAGAGGGAAACATTAAAGACATAAAGACAGTTAAAAAAGAGATAAAACTATCTCTATTTGCAAATGATACAATGGTATATTTAGAAAATCCCAGGGAATCAGCAACGGTTAAAACAATTAACAGCTTCTGCAAAGCAGCAGTCTACAAAAATAATTCTTCAAAAATCAACAGCATTTTCATATAATAATAACAACAAAATCATGAAGCAACAGAAAAGAGAATTCCATTCCAAATAACTACAAAATGTATAAAACATCTGTGAATGAATCTACCAAAGCACACACAAAGTTATATAGATTCAATTAAAAAGTACTTCTTAAAGAAATAAAGAACAACTTACATAGCTGGAGGAAAAGTCAGTTCTCATGGCTGGGCCATGCCAATACAATAAAAAACCACCAAAGTTAATCTACACTACTAATGTTATGCCAATCAAATTGCCAGACAAATACTTTACAGAACTTGAGAAAATAATAACAAAATTCATTTTAAAAGCAAAAATATCTAGCATATCAAGAAAAATGATGAAAAGTAGTAGGGATGAAGGGGGAATGGCCCTTCCAGATCTCAAACTATATTATAAAGGAGAAAACATCAAAATCATCTGGTAGTGGTTAAAAATAAAAAGATCAGTGGAACAAGATTAAAGAAAGAAATACCAAAAACCATGCTAATTAGCACATTTAATAGTGAAGGTCTTGTTTGTAGTTGAACATTCCACTCTATTTTGACACGATGTCTTGATTCACTAGTTAGCTCATTACTAATTCATCAGGTAGTTCATTCCAACTACCAATAATTGAAACTACTGAATGAATCTGGGTCACTGCTAAGTGTAATGAGGCTGATTTCTATAAGGTTAACAATTCAGGGTCAATCTTAATGAGCTGAACAACATAATAAAAAGGAACAGTACAGAGCTAACCAGCCACAGAAAAGAATAGAATATAGAGTCACTGAAGAAATTTCTTACCTAGCCAACCCCTCTTCATAGAGATAAATGACAAGAGGATCATAGGACGTCACAAGCACATAGAGACGTATATCAAATTTGAAATCTAGAAGAAACATTAACATTTCAGTGAAAAATAATTCCAATTACGTACCGTAAAAAACAAAATTAAACATGCACAACATAGAAAAGACAATACTCCATCCCCATCCCCATCCCTATCCCTGTCTCTTGTAAATAAACTGGACTTTATTATAATCTAAGGCTAATGAGGACTTCTTCTTTATAAGAGCGTGAAAATTTTCAAATCACCAAGATTCGATCTTAAGAACAGTGTAGCAATACCTAGCCCAACACAGACAAAGACATAATCACAACTTACCATCTATGAGCAGGGGATTGTTGATATAACGAGAGACCAGAATGTTCTCTTCCAGGGAAATCTGGTTTGGCTATAGAGTAGAAAGAAAGAATTGAGAGGACAGAAGTGCTGAAGCATCCTAACATATAATACGAAGCAATGTTCCTGACCTTGCAGGAGAAAGACAATTTAAAAACTTTAAATACTGCTCCATTCTTCTTTTAACCCACCCATGTCTTTTCCATGAATTCTGTCACTGCCCAATAACACTCAAAACAACACAAATTTACTCTAAAGAATAGCTTTCACTTCCTATATCCCAAAGAGGCAGCAAGATGGTGTGGTGAATACAGTGCTGGGCCTGAGGTCAGAAACACTTGAGTTCAAATACAGACTCCAACACTCAGTAGCTGTCTGGGCAAGTCACTTAATCTCTCTTTGCTTTAGTTTCCTCAACTGTAAGACAGGAATAACAACAGCACCTACCTGAAAGCATTGTTGTATGGATCAAATGAGATGATATTTGTAAAGAGTTTTTAGCACAGTCCTTGGCACATATTAGATGTTATTTAAATGCTTATCACCTTCCCTCTTCTCTAAAGAGCTTTATAAACTTACTTCAATATTTCAAGGATCTGTGATTTCACCAGTGTAAATAATACCAAAAACCAATACAGATCATGACTCTTCCCTCTACAACTTGGTTGTAGCCAAGAAATGCATTATATATGTGATTATACAAACTTACATATAGCATTAAATTAGAGTTGAGTGAAAAAGAAAATAAAGAATTGCTGGTAAGTAAAAAGTTGTTTTCTTCCAATTTTAGGTAAGAAGTAAATTTTAAAATGTTACCTTATTTTTAAATGGTTGGCTTCTCCAAAGACTTTAAAGAACTGTTCATAGTCCTTTAAACAGTGAATACTTATACCCTCTCTGAAAAAGCATAGGTTTTCTTTCTGTAATAGAAAGAGCATGGAACAACCTGGTTTCAAATATTAACTCTAAGACTAGTGGTGTGACTAGGTGCAAATCATGTAACTGTGTAAGCCCAGTTTCCTCATCTGTAAAATGAAGATAATACTTCTATGACAATTCCCAAGGTGGTTGGGAAGAAAGTGCATTGTAAGCTTAAAGGCACTACATAAATGTGTTATTATATTATTATTTATTTACTGAATATTATCTATTGAGCATGTATATTGGGTGCTGTGGAAGAATACAAAAGAATGAAAAAAAACCCCACAATTCCTATCCTTGAAGAATTCATAATCTAGTTAAAGTATTAAAATGCACAGGTGAAATGATGTAAGAAGAATACAAGGCAGCACATTTATAAGGACAAAACAAGAGTACAAAATGAGCCCAAATATGCTGAAAAGAGGGTGAGTGGAAGAATGATCAAGATTAGATGGGATAAATCTGGAAAAGCTTTTTGAGTAAGAAAGAACTGAATCAAACTTAAGAAGACATCAAGTACCTGTTAAAGACAAGAACGTGGATATCAAACATAGGAGAAAGGCACTTGCAAAGGTAAACAGATGGGAAAAGTGAGTTATTTAAAGGAAATAAAGGTCAGGATAGCTTGGCTAGTGCAGAGGCCAAACTGAGGATTCACGAAAGATCTACACTTCGAGAAGCATACAAAGCCCAGATGATTGAGAGATCTGAATGCTAGGGAAAATTCAGATGTGATAATATGGTTAAAAGAAGGGTAGGAAGACAAAATCAGTCAGTCAAAAAGCATTTATTAAGTGCCTACTATGTGCCAGGTGTTGTGCTAAGTGCTAGGGATATAAAAAGGGGCAAAAGACATTTTCCCTGCCCTCGAGGAACTCACAGTCTAATAGGGTAGACGATATGCAAACAAATACATACAGAGGAAGCCATGTACAGAATAAACAGGAAATAATTTTAAAAGGGAAGGCACCAGAATTAAGAGGGGTTGGGAAAGGCTTTCTATAGAAAATGTGATTGTAGTCTGGACTTGAAGAAAGTCAGGGAAGCCAAGAAGCAGAGATGAGGAGAGAGAGCATTCCAGGTGAGGGAGAAAGCATGGGGATCTGAGAGATGAAGTGTCTTATTTGTGGAATAGCAAGGCCAGTATCACTGGATCAAAGAGTATGTGTCAGGGAGTAAGGTGAGAGAAGGCTGGAAAGGTAGGAGGGGGCTATCACGAAAGGCTCTGAATGCCAAATAGAGGATTCTGTATTTGCTCTTGGAGGCAGCAGGGAGCCACTGAAATTTATTGAGTAGCGAGGTGCTATGGGTAGACCTGTGCTTTAGGAAAATCACTTTAGTGGCTGAAGAGAGAATAGCCTGGAGTGGGAAGAGAAGACCTGAGGTAGGCAGACCCACCGTTAGGCTATTGCAATAATCCAGGCATGAGCTGATGAGAACCTGCAGAACTGCAGCAGAGCGGTGGCAGGGTCAGAGGAGAGGAGGAGAGCCTGCAGGAGAGATGCGTAGAGGTCAAAGCCATAAGTCTTGGCAACATATTGGAATTAAAGGGTGAGAGATAGTGAGGAGTCTAGGATGACACTCAAGTTGTGAGCCTGGGAGGATCATGACGCCCTCAACAGTATAAGGGAAGTCTGGAGGGAGGGAAAAATAATGAGTATAATTTTAGACATGTTGATTTTTAGATGTTTGCTTGACATTCAGTCAGATATCTGAAAGGTAGTTGGATATGTAAGACTTTAGGTCAGCCCAATGCCTGGTACATAGTAGTGCTTAATAAATGTTTATTGACTGACTGACTACTAGTAACATTCAAAATAAGTTCCAGAATAGGAATAGGATAGCTAGATTTGAAAATCAGCTGGATGATAATTAAATTCATGGGAGCTGATGAGATCACCAACTGAGGGGGTATTGATGGAGAAGAGAACAGAGTAGATAGAGAACTCTAATACGTACTGGCTTTGTGTGTTAAGTGTCCTAGGAAACTAAGATAGAGAGTTGCAAAAGTTATTGACCTACATGGGATGAGCGATTTGCTTCATCAGTTCAAAAAATTTTAAAAATTGGGTAGAAGCAAGCCACTGCAGTGGCTGCAGAACAGTGAACTGCTATGAAGACCAGGGTGGCCTACTGGATAGAGCATACAGGACCCAGAGTCACAAAGACCAAAGTTCAAATCCTACCACTGAAATTTATCAGCTGCATGGCCCAAAGCAAGTAACTGACCCTGCCTAAATATCAGTTTCATCTTCTGTAAAGCATAAATGTGCTGGGTATAACAGCACCTGCCTTACAGAGCCGCTGTGAGGATGACACAAGGTTCTGCATGAAAATCACTTTGCAACCTTTAAAGAGAAATGACAATGATGATGGAAGTGATGGAGATGATGGTGATGGAAATACTGAGGTAGATTTTTCTAACAATTATGTATAAGATTAATTGGATTAGAAACTAACATAGGCAGCCTACGTATGAGTCCACTAAAGTGGAAGACAAAAGGAAATGAGGATTCCACCAAGGCTGTGTCCATGGAATCAAAGAAAAAGGAATAATATAGTTGCACACAGTTTACAGATGGGAAGGCTGAAACACAATTTAAGTGACTGGTCCGAGAAGTTAGTCAGTGGTGAGACAGCAAATAAATTTATTTATATATATAGTTCATTAAAGCTCCCTATTCAATAAGCAAAGCGGGTGGGGGAGGGGGAGGACGGGGAGAAGGAAAGGAACAAGCATTTATTAAGTACCTACTACATGCCAGGCACTACGCTAAGCTCTTCCCAATGATCCCCTCCTTTGATCTTCACAACAGTCCTGGGGAGTGTTACAGCTGAGGAAACAGGCAGACAGAGTGACTTGCCTGGGGTTACACAGGGAGCAGAGTCTGAGGCCAGATTTAAACTTGGGTCTTCCTGACTCAGGGCCCAGTGCTCTATGCACACCCAGGCTCTTCCAGCTTCCAAGGTATTAACATGATGAGATGCAAAAAGAAACTGTGCCACTTGGAAATAGATGAAAGAGAAACACTCTTATATAGGACCAAAAGAGGGAACAGAGAGAAGAAATCTTGGCCTCTACTTCTAAACCCCTTGGCTCTGATAGATGAGATTTTTGCCTTGTCTTCCCAGGGGCCCAGGCCTCCATGCCATCTCCTGGCCATCTCTTCACCATGTCCCTGTATACAGAACCCTCCCCTAACACTTTTCAGAACCCCTATGTCTTCCCCTATGAAGAAGTAAGCTTCTTGGGGGCAGAGACTGTCTTGCTTTTATCTATATTCCTAGCACTTGGCATCATGGCTGGCTCACGTTGTTCTTCAGTTGTTTCAGTCGTGTCTGACTCTTTGTGACCCCACTGGAGGGTTCTTTGGCAAAGATACTGGAGTATCTTCCTTTACCTGCTCATTTTACAGAAGAAGAAACTGAGGCAAACAGGTTAGGTGACTTGCCCAGCGTCACACAGCTAGTAAGTGTCTGAGGCTAGATTTGAACTCAACTCTTCCTGACTTCAGGCTTGGCACTCTATCCACCGTGCCATTTAGCTACCCTGCCTGGCTCATAGTAAGTGCTTAATAGATGCTTTATCTATTTATCTGTATGTGTCCATATATTTATAAACATATATGTCTAGGAAAGAGGGAGAGAAAGAGAGAGAAAGAGAATCAGAGAGAGCAGTTTTAGGAACAAGGAGGCAACTCTGAACTCAAATCAAATTAATCCAATTCAATAAACATTTATTAAAGGTATATTAAATAGAGAACATTGTGCAAGACATTGGTAGAAATACAAAGTGTAGATGAACCACGTCCCTGACTTTATGCAGCTTATTTTTCCAATAGGAGGATATGATTTCTTCAACACATATGACACACGTAAAAAAACTATTAGAAAAATAATATATATTAAGAAAACTTGGCTGCAATGAATGCAGTTTGGGTTAATTTATAAAGCAGTCTAATTTGATAATTTCTATAATTATACCATCATTTCAAATAGCTCTAGATTTAAATACCAAGAAAATAAACAAGAAGAATCCATAAGCAACATGAGACTAAGAAGAGATTATTATAGCTGAAAGTGGGCACAAAAAGATGAAGATACAACATTCTCTACCTTTAAGAGGTCTAA